CCAGAACTAGTAATGACTGATATAAGAAAATCACTGCAGTCTCCCCGACTCCCTGACATCCTCAGGCTAAAAGCTGCCTACTGTGGATCAAAGTGTATCATAATGTGAACCATGCTGCATTAAGGCAGGTACAGTTTGATATTTGGTGCCCATTTCTGTTGCTGTGGAATCAAAACAGGTATCATTATTGTTTGATCTTCACTAATATAGTATCCAAGTTTTAAAGATCTGGTATCATGATGACCTTATGTGTGCAGTCCAGACATAAAAAAGCAACTACAGCACACTAAAAAACAAGTAAATAAAAACTCATACTTGAGAGATATATGCAGCAAAATCCTACTTCTAAGATTGCAAAAGTTATTATTGGAGCTAACTTGATTCTTAGACAAAAAGGGATATCCTCTGAAGCCTGCTGAGTTTGTAGTAATGGCAAGGCTTGTGTTTGTGTGTGTAGTGATAAAAGGAGAAGCTGTCAGATAAACAGAAGTGAAGTCACCGATTAGCACTAAGAAGTAAAACCATGTGAAACTACACTGTGCTGTGGTCTGCAGGACTTTTTTAGGCTGGCTGCAAGTCGGTGTAGCTCTCTGTTAACTTACACCGTACTTACAGCGAAGGCTACTTTCAGTTCCTCAGCCTTGGTGGAACCACACCCAAATGTGAGCTCAACCAGCACCCTGCACACCAGAACGGAACAACCCCGTCACTCTGAGCCTGCAGCTGTAACAGAGTCTTTGCTGTCATGAAGATGTATCAATTAAAAGCACATTAACAACGCTCTGAAAGCCATGAATGAAATCATTTTTTAAACTATAGTAAGATTCAGAACAGTCTAGAAACTGCAGAGAGTTTGGGGCCTTGGGGTTGACAGGAAGTAGCTGACATTTGCCTGCAATAAAAGTCCCAAAGTCAGCACACTATTTCCTTGTCATGCTTCAGCTGTGTCAAATTGCCTGCACGTCATGTGGTCTGTCAGGGAGTATAATTTTGTCTGTTTTCCTTCCAGGTGACACAAAAGCAAATAGCTCATAAAACTGACACCACCAATGAAATACACCCAAAAAACAGAAAAGGAAAATATTCAATGATATGCATCCTTTACAAAAAACATGCAGAGATAAAGATTCAAGGTTGATTGTCTGTGATGCAGACAGACAAACGACAGATTATTTAATAATGTTGTCTATCCTGTATGATAGGCAAGAATTTTACAACCCTTTTTGTTTCGATTTGTTGTTTCAACTGTTGAGTACATTATTTAATTTAGGTATTTTTCTGTCATGAATGTGGAAATAAAGAATAAAACAACCTCTATTGAAGTAAACAGGAGAATAATACTGCACATACTGAACTTTACGAGGAAACAATAGCTTAATTTTTTCATAAACTTTATATTCTCTAAACAACTATTGATTTTGTACTACAGTTGGTACATTTAATGCATTGAATCCACTTTTAATGATCTGCTCCTGTGGTAATCATATATGTTTCCATATCAATAAGGCTTTTTATATCATTTGACTTGCATATCTGTTGACGTGATACAATCCTAAATATTAAGTAACTTTTGTTGAAATACAAATGATGGATATGATCTAATTCAATCTCGTATCTGCTGGTGCTGTGGTTAGCTAAATTAACTTGCATATTTTAGATTTAAAACAATATTGTCTTGTGTCCCAATGTTTGTCATAAGTCTTTGTGTGGCCTTTGCAAACCTATCCCAACATCACTGCTGTTGATGGTGTATTACTTGCAGTTACTTGTGCACGTCTGTATTTGAAAAAGAAAGAGAAGAACTGACAGCTCACTAAATGTTGGATCAGCTTATTTGGCTTTATAAGACGACCCAAGAACTTCAAGATACATGACGGAAGATTTTAGTTCAAAGTGCCCGTAAGGAACTTTAAGTCTGTGTCGGTTTTGGCAGCCCCTGTGGACAAAGTGGTACCTCTTATCCTTTTGATTTTGTCATGTACTGTAAGCAGTATTTTGTTACAAACCCACTCCCCCTTGCCCTATCACAACAATTTAATTTATCAGTTATCGACTAAATTTTCTTGGAAAATATTTTTTTAAAACCCTGCTTTTACAGCATGTAGTTTAGTGCGGCCTTCACACGCTCCTTGGAAACTTCGTACATCCCAGTTGTCGATTTGTAATGATGACATACACTCATTCAAGTGCTCTGGGCAGAAAAAGCAACAAACATGGACACAAGAGGAAATGCCATGTTTTTCGTGGCTGATGTTTATGAATAAAGAACTTAAAATGTGCATCAGGTGTGCAGCTGACGTTGAAATATGTTTAAATGCTTAAATTACATTTTAATTAGCTAACATTTGTTAGGCAGCATATCACCTAGTGGTTTTAGACATTAAAAAAATAACCATGTAGAAATGGTCAGTCTTCATGCTGATGATCTTGTTTGATAATCTGAGTCATAAAGAGGCTTCAATATCAAAACCAGATAAAATCTTCTCACAGGAGCTTTAAGTTACGAGTAAATCAGCTATATTCACCCAATAACCAGCCCGTTCATTCCCCAAATGTTAAATACCTTAATCTAAAGAGATGATTCCGTTTATAGTGTAATAATTAGCTTTGTCACTCCTATAAACCACAAAATTGTACTCCTCAGCCTGTTGAGTCCACCGCACAGTGATGCGCTTTAACAAACTTCGGATAGCTGTAGTTAGCTACTAAATTGGCAACTTTATACGTTTTCACTACTTACTTCAAGGTAACAGGCTAGGTAGGATAAATATACACTAAGGTAGAGATAAAGACAACACCCGAGGTTAATCGGGGGAGCTGACACGTCGTTACTCCGTTGTAAGCAGGCTAGTTAGCTAGTTAGCTCAATTTAGGTCGGCTAACGTTTGCGGACTAATCATCAACATTTAATCTGATCTAGACTAAAAGAAACTGGTCAAATGAGCTTTTAACAATCAAATTAGGTTAATCAGCTGGACTCAATACATAATCAGTCGACATAACACATAGAAAATAGTGATTTCTTTTAGAGTTATCTAGTGTAGGTAAACAGTTAATGTCGTTAATCTTTCTAGACACTGATAGCGCTCAAAGATACGACATGCTAACAGTTAGCTCAGGCTACTTTAACCGGCTGTTTCCATTAGCTTTAGCGGCTAAGCTAGCTACTTAGCTACTTAGGCCCGGTTAGCTAGCTCAAAGCCGAGCTGTCAACGGCTAGCTGCGATGTTAACAGGTTGCAAATCCTCTTCAAGATAAGACAGACCGCAGTGTCTGATTGTTTGTTTTGTTCTCTCACCGTGAGTCCAGTGCCCAGCACGATTACGTCGTAGTCTTCATTCATTTTTCCAAATCTTCACTCCTCTGATCCTGAATATCGGGAAAGAAGAAAATGGAGACCTGCGGGGCCGAAAATGACAAGGGGCTGCGGTTCAGCGTCAGGCGCCTCGGAAGGCGGGACTTCTCAGCTGTCAATCACTTGCAGGAAGTGTGTGTGATTGAAAACAAGAGGGGAATAAAAAACAAAAAAGAAAATGTATGAAGCAAAAACACTAAAAAAGAATGGCCACTGGTGTGAATTTTAAAGATGTACACAAATTCTCACATAATCATGAAATGTGCTGTGATTTTTTTAATATCTAAAATGATTGAATAGTTTGCTTTGGGATTGTTAATACATTTTTGGGGCTTTTTAGTCTTTCACCTTTCATTTGAATTATTTTCTACGGAAGCGCGTTGTATCCAAATGAGCAAATACGTCTGCTCTGTATATCCTGAACTAACGAAATAATTATCACGGATTTACGAGTAAAAAATATTCAATAAGAAAAATACAAATTTGCTTAGTTTTTCTGAACTAACCAGATAACGGTTCCTCATGAACTCTTGCAAAATGCCAAGCATTCAATGAACCAACTATATTTAAGTCATATTTGTAGTTAGATAGTGTGCAGGAGTTTGCATTCTTTAAAATACTTTGGACATTCATCTTCTTTATGAGTCCTTAAGGATAGGATAGGATAGTCCTTTATTGATTCAATTCGGGCGTTGCAGCAGCACAGACAATTGAAAAGATCATACAAAATACAAATCAAACAGAATAGATTAGATAAGATAAATAAAAATAGGGGGTATATACAAGTACACAATGAATGATGAAGTTAATTATGCAGGGAATTAAGGAAATAAAGACTAAAGCTCATAAGATCTACATGTTGCCATTCTCTTGTTTACCCTAAAGTAGATATTATTAATGGAGATAGAAAGGGTAAATTAATTAAATTGTTCTCTATGTGTCTGTACGCACATTTTATGCCAGCCCTGCCTAAGTTAGTGCCCAAATTGGGCCACCTCAGCAAAAAAGTCTGGACACGCCCCTTAGTAAAGTAAACACACCTGTTAAGTAAACAAAGTGACATTCAAGCAGTTAACTTCTGTTTTACTCACACACGTCAGTGCGAACAGCGGCAGTCACACACAGGCCACACAGTCTGCTAACAAACTCAGGTTCGTAGAGGTCAAGTCAAAGTCAAATTCAAGGCGAGGAGTCGAGGGCTGAGCCTCAAAATAAAGAACGTATATCTGAATTGTTTCATTTGAAAATGATGCTCATTTACACATATTTGATTCCCCTTTGTTATCTTTAAGCTTTACGTTATAAACAGTCATTTATTGAAATTCACAGATCATCAAAGAGAAGCCCACATATGTGTAAGCTGGAATGATGTATACCTTTTTCCGTGTATTTTGTTTACCAAATGATGCACCTCTATCACTTTACAAAGGTACACAGAGGGCTGCCTTTTGACAATTAACATTAGTAGAATTAGTATACGTTGTAAACTGTTTTTAGTTTGTACCATCGCCGGCTGAGTCCTGCTACATGTGCTGCAGTGTGAACACTTAATTACTGAGTCGGAGCAGCATTTAGCTGGACAAACGACATCCTTGCACCACTTTTAAATCCCCCATGCATTAATTTCTGCCTCTTATGTTCTGTTAAAAAAGAACTGTAAATAATGGTACATAATGTAGATAATGCCTGTCAACACAGATCTGGTGTATTTCAATGTAGGCTGATATAATCCACAATGCTAGAAAAATAAAATGACAATAAACAAAACAGAAAACTCAGAGCTGATGTTTCAATCTTAGTTTTGTGCCAGACATCCAGGGACTGTGCTAACAAAAGGAAAATACAGTCAGGGAAACTCCTGCACAGATGGGTAAATGCTAAATGGACTTGAGCTTGTATAGTGCTGTTCTAGCCTTCTGACTACTAAAAGATCTTTTACATCACAGGTCACACCTACACATTCACACACTGATGGTAGAGCTGCTGAGTAAAGAGTCCATCATCAGTTTTAACTAGTCAATCCACACACATCCATACGCTGCAGACAAAGCAGCTTTGGCAACTTGGTGTTAAGTGTCTTGCCCAGGAACACATTGGACATGTTGCTGCCGGAGATGAGGATTGAACCCTGACCTTCTGGGTGAGAGATGACCGACTCTACCAACTGAGCCAAAGCCACAACAGTAATGTTCCCTGAAGTCAGAATTCCATCTCAGAATCTCTGAAACTTCAGTAGTCTGAGTTAAAATCCAACATGGCTGAATGTTGTATGCATGAATATGTAGCTGTGACATTCATTGTAAAAGTCCATTTACTATTTACCATAACCGGCAACTTGGAATTTCCAACTTCTGAGATCAAATGGAACGCACCATTTAGACGGAAGACAATGTCCTAAGACTCAAAATGTGTCACTGAAAACACATACATACAAGTGGAGGTTTATTGTAATCCACTAAATCCAGCTTGTTTGATTCCAGTAACATTAAACTGCACAGAATTAATTGCACATCTGTGCTCGGCATCACTGTGGCAAAATTTACAATGTGTCAGGTGGCTCGCATTCAAACACTCGTACTACATCTGGTCTCCTGGCAAACTGTCTCGCTCTGGTGCCAGATAAGTCCTCGGAGTCTCTGAGTCCGAGCTGCAGGAGAGTTCTGGCTGCGTCGCGTGCTGCCCGATGGACGCCATATGAAGAGCTGGGAGAGCAAGAGAACAAAGATGGCCGTAAGTGAGGATCGAGTGGTTTTGCATGTTTAAGGAGAAAGACGAAACTTACCCACAGTTCTCAGAGTGATGTCCCCTTTTCAGGCAGCCAACAGTTTTTTTATGTTGCATTTTATTGAATTTTATGAGGTTCCATTTTTTCCGTCATTATTTTAAAAGCTAGTCTGACTCTGCTCCATGCATGAATACCACATGATGCAGTATTTAACAGCCAGTAGTTACTCAGTCAGACGTGGTTATGCAACTGAGAGGGAAAATTAAAAACTTCATGCTGGTGCATTCAAGTTCTGCAACGTCTGTTTCCATTTCCAAACGCAGAGACTGCTTTTTAATAAGCTGCACATTTATTCAAATTTGTATCTGGATCTGATTTTGTGTCAGCGCAGGTTTTGAATGAAAATAAGTATCGGACTCTAATATCTCAACTATTACCATAAAAAGTGAGCGGCTTCATGACGACAACTGTGATGGATTAAATGTCAGCAGAATTTGTCTGTTAGCTTGTTTTTAAAGAAATACACGAAACAAACTAAGAGGTAGATCAGCAACTCCTAAGCCCCACTAGGTAAAATCACTGTTTTTGTCAATGGAGTCTGGGGGCTTTTTTTTCTGGTAAAAAAAATTAAAGAAAAGGAATCCTACTCTTTAATAAAGGTACTCTAGGGATCCTTTCCAGATCTGATGGCAGGAATTCATGCAGCTTGTTTTAATTCCAAAAGTGTTTTCAGCACAAAATATGTTAAAAAAACAACAACAGGGGCGTCGATGGGCGAGTGGTTAGCTCACACTCTCCATGTACGGAGGCTGTAGTCCTCGAAGCGGGCAGCCCTGGTTCAAATCCAGACAAGTGGCTCCTTTCCTGCATGTCAGTCCCCTCTCTCTCTCTGTTTCTGTCTCTATCTCTCTCACCCCAGAATACAACACTATCCACTGACCTGTCTCTCCAATGAAGGCACAAAAAGCCACAAAACAAAGCCTAGACTTTGACTGCTTACCTGTTCGTCCTTTGTTGTCACGGACACAAAGATCTGCTCCCAACTCCAGAAGGGTTTTAATCGTGGACGTGTGACCCTCCTGTAAAACAAAAGAAGGTTAGGATCCACTGCTCTAATATACGCTACCTCTTGTTTAGGGTCATGTATCTCACCTTTGCAGCGTAATGCAGAGCGGTGAGATGGATGTTAGTCGCTCTCCGGTTCACGTCGACATTCAGGTCCCGCACCAGGAACCGCAGCGCCTCCTCCTGGCCGGTGACAGCAACCTGATGCAATGGCTGAGCCCCGAGTGTGTCAGCTGCTGTCGGAGACGCCTTCAGAACAAACAAGTTACAACATGACGATGGATAAACACAGATATCTTGACTTCTTCACAAACTAAATTAAAATGTATTCATTTACCTGGTGCTTGTCTAAAAGAAGCCTCGCCAACGAGATGTGTCCATTCCTGACGGCATCCATGAAAGGCGTGACTCCACAGCTGTCGTGGCCATCTGGGGTGTAGACACATCTGGAAGAATACCGAATGTAGTGCAAAGTTATCTGTTATCACCATCACGCTCAAAATGAAAGAATTCTATGTCTCCCAAAACAAGTTGCACAAAAATACAAGAGTGAGAAACATTCAATCATTTGGTCTCCCAGTCTGTCAGAGAATAGACTTTAAAATCCTGTTGCTGGTTTATAAAGCGCTTAAAGGTTTAGGGCCAAAATACATTAGTGACCTCCTGATTAATTATGAACCATCCAGACCGCTCAGGTCGTCTGGGACAGGTCTGCTCTCTGTCCCCAGAGTCAGAACCAAACATGGAGAAGCAGCGTTCAGTTTCTATGCTCCTTATATCTGGAACAAACTCCCAGAAAACTGCAAGTCTGCTGAAACTCTCAGCTCTTTTAAATCCAGGTTGAAGACACACCTGTTTACAGCTGCCTTTCATTAAACAGCTTTAAGAAGATTTTAAACTTGTTTTTTTAACTCTGTACTGTAACTTTTAACTCTTTTTATATTTTTACTTTATTTATTTCAATTAATTTAATTTGAATTATATTTATCTGAACATATTTTCAGATTTAATAATTTCAGTGATTTTTAAATTTTCTATTTTAATGTTTCTTTTCTTTCCTCTGTCATGATGCTTTGTGTGAAGCACTTTGAATTGCCTTGTTGTTGAAATGTGCTGTATAAATAAATAAACTTGCCGTGGTCAACTAGGACAGGAACGCTAGCTTGGTGGTCATCAGATCTCGATCATGTAGACTGAAATTGAACCAAATTTCTTACTCTGACTTTATCTAGAGTTTTTCCTGCCAGCCCCCTGGTATTTTTTCCCACCGTACCAATTTTTTACGTACCTCTCGAGTAAAATCTGAACAACTTCTTCACAGCCGTGCATCGCTGAATGAGGAACAAAGAGAGCTAAAATTATATTCTGACAACAAACCCAAATCAGTCATTACTTCCATCCTTCAGTAATCACAATAATTCAGAATAACACTCAGAAAGATAAGACTTTCTTTCTGGATAAATAATTGTTTCAAACCAGGATACATGACAGGATATTGTTGAGTGTTTGTCAGATTTAGTCATGACAGGTTACTAGGACGCTTTACCTGCAGTGTGAAGCGGCGTCCTGTGCGTCTTGCTCTTCGTCCTCCAGACGTCTGCTGCAATCTCAAGCAGGTGCCGCACGATCAGAGGATCGCCCTCCCTGCATGCGATGTGGAAGGAGTTCCAGCCGTCCTTGTTCCTCAGTGACGGGTCGGCACCGTGGCAAAGAAGCTCCTGGATCACGTGGAGGTTTCTGCGAGTGCAGGCCATCATCAGAGGAGTCCTGAGAGGCAAGAGGCAACACTGACACACCCGCTTTCACCAAATACTAAAAAAGTGCAAACACATCTGGTTTATGGGATTATACAAAGTGGTGTTTTAAGAGAACAAGTTTTAAAAATTACTGCAACTAACAATTCATGTCACTGTAGTGTTACAGTATCTGTCAGATTGATTAAGTTCAGATTGAGTCGTTTCAATTGTCTTCAACCTAAATAAATCCTGTTAACTGTCAGAGATGAGGAAGAAACCAGAACGTGCTTAATTAAATTCGAAAATTAATTTTTAAAATGTACGATTAATTTATTACATGATTAATTGATTAAAATATGATATAAAATATCAACTTTGTATCAGAGGAATAATTCACTCAAAATACACATTTACACACTTACAAACTAATTGACCTCTCACTCAATTACTTCTGGGTCACTTTTGGCTTTTGGTACAATCCCTTTCCTGCAAGATTCTTTCTTTTGCAGATTTGTTTGGGGACTGGTAAAAGTGTTCTTCATCTTATAAATATGTTCCATAAAATGTAAGAGTGTTTTCCAAAATGTTAATTTGTCTCAAGCTTTGTAGAAGTGCTTCACATTTTGTAATTTTGTTTTGCACTTCCCGGCCCACAGAGCCAAAGCTGAATCCATACAAGTAAAAGCATTTTTAATTTGTTGTTTTTTTATTCTTTGCAGTGCTGCTAGAATCTCAACTGTAAACACTGACATCTGGTCTGTTGTTCTTTTTTTCTCACAGACATTTTGTTATATCCTTAAAAATGTTTTATGTTATGTAAAATTGAGAGATTTCAAATTTGGAAAAAAAAAAAAAAAAAGTTCTCCTTCGAGCCGGATTCGAACCAGCGACCTAAGGATTTCAGCATTCAACCACTACAGTCCTCCGCTCTACCAACTGAGCTATCGAAGGGAGATGATGACATACGAATTTCAGTTCCTTTTTCAAGCCAAAAGGGGGCGCTACATGTATGATAATATATTTTTGTATTAAATAAAGACCGTGTTGAACAGTCCGCTCTCACCAGTCCGCTTTCTTCAGACTGTCCACCTTGGCTCCTTCCCTTAGCAGGTAGCTAACACACTCCTGGTGGCTCATGGACGCAGCTTCATGCAGCGGCCTCTTGTAGTCGTTGTTGCACACCTCCACATCCATGCCTACCTGCTTCACGAGGTACTCCACCACGTCCAGGTGTCCGTGTCTGCAGGCGTAGTGAAGCAAGGTATCCCCTGACCGGCCAAAGTGTTTACCACAGACGGTTTGAGCCGCCGTCGATCCTCCTCCCGGTGTGATGTGTTTCTGCAGAGAGCTTAATTGTCCCTCCTGAGTGAGCTTCACAAGCTGTTTTAAAGTGTGTTCGTCCATGTTGGTGGAGATGAGAGGCTGCAGCATTAACACAAAGTCAAGTTACGGAAGAAAAAAAGCCAAATAAATAAGTTTAGCTGGTTGAAGCCATGCTGGAGGAAAGTGTTTACCTCTATATTTCACCGAGGAGCTAAATCAGATGGCCAACCAAAAACTAACACGGTAACATTTTATCTTCCAATCGACATCGAAACGTAACACTCTGTGCATTATTAATCGTTTTATTATTATCATAATAAGTAGTAGTAAAAGAAGAAGAAGAAGAAGACAATGCGACTAGGCTGTTAAAAATTCACAGGACTTACTGAGAAGTAAATGTATAAAATAACTATTTTGACAAATCTTTAGACACAAAAAAAAACGTTTATTGTTTTTTGACCATAAAAATAATGTTTAAGTCATTATCACTGACATGAGATTTTAACTAATATGACTGCATCTGACAGCAACAAAAAGAAACGACCTGTTGCAGAAGGGATAGGCTTTAGTTGTCCTTTCCGGAAGCGCGACAACATGGGCATGATGGGAAATTTAGTTTTTCCAAGAAAACCCGCAAACTGCCTTTAATCAGCTTTCTCTTGCTGGATCAAATATGTAAGTATAGTGAAAACATAAGGATGACATATTCCACGTAGACTTCGTGTAAGTATGAACATATTAACGTTGCAGGGGTTGAAACTCAGTTTTTCGACAAAAGGAAAAAGACGGAACCGGACGTGGATTTCCAAGCAGAAATTAAAGGATCAGTATCACTGCTTTAAATCCGTGAAATTGTGGAGTCAGCATATCCAGCAGCTGTCTGAACGACAGCGAAGCGTCAACGCGCTGGTGAACAAGATGAGTCACATCTGGATGGGAGGAAGGAGGAGAAAAAAGGTGGAGGGAGAGAAGAGGAGAGAAAAGTGAAGGGTTACTGTTGGTGAGAGTGAGCCTCACTCCTCAGAGGTTTTTTAAAACATGGACAATGAACATCAGGACAAACAACACTTATTTATCTGGTGAGTACACTTCTGTCATTTTTTAAAATTGCAATTAAAATGACTGACAGGCACACACACCTCCTTTCTTTATTGGTCTTCTAGAGATACTTAATATTGGAGTTTGCAGGTATATCTCTATGGTGTGGTATGAAACCTGTACAGGTATTGTTAGACAAGAGTACTTTTTGTCCTGCTACACTGAAAAAAATATCTGTTCTAAACTTTTGCATCTTTACTCTAAAACAAGTAAGAGATCTGAAAATACATCATGCATCAGATTGTTTTACCTGATTTTGATTAAATGCACTATTAGTCTTGGATTAAAGGGATTTTGTACGTTTTGTTCTACACTGTGGCACACAAGTGAGGATTTTTATTTTCCACTTTTCCAACATTTTGAAACATTTCCTTCCTGAAATATCCTCGAAAATGTTAACTCCGTTACATATCAAAGAAAATGTTACACACCTTTTCTTTTGTGATTTGAATTCAGTCCTGGAAAACTTTTAACTCCCTCATGCCGGTGAGGAATTTTTTGCAGTGTGATGACTTAACGTGGTTTGGTTTGTACCCCCAACCCCCAACCCCCATATGCAGCACACATACACTAACACTTATAACGCACAGTTACGTGTGTTATAAGGGGGAAATAGAACTTGTGCAGCTAGTGACAAGTTGCAACATATATCAAAATGATAAGGTGGTCTTATTCCTCACTGCTGTTTTACAGAAACCTATATTTAGTATCATGAACTTCACAAATTCTGGAAAAAAAAACTGAACATTTGGCATAAAATTACACCAAAGTTCATTTCTGATGGCAAAAATCTGAAGAAAGTTTGACACAAATGCACCAATACTGTAGAAGATCTGACATGTGAACACAGTAAATAGTGATTTAGTGGTGAGCCTTGAGTGTATTACAGATTGTACAAATGCAGGCCAGACACAAACTGTTAGGCTGTCCGGCCTCCTGGAAAGGAGTGTATCTGTTGCTAATGAGCTCCAGATGTTTTGGGCCGCTCTAAACAGTGACAAACAAACCAGAAACAAATGCACGACACAAACAGAACGTCCTGTTTTATTTCTGCTCAGTGCTAAAGTTCGATAAGGGTCTGCAGGTTTCTGAGGGAAGCATTAAAACTTTACAAGTAGAAACACTTCTGTAAGTGTAATGTTTTATTGATTTGGGAGTGCTGAGGTTTCTGTTTTTGAAACCAAGTGCACAGATAATGAGGTCAATGACGGCCTCAGTGATCCTGCTGGGAGCTGATTGAGATGATGAGCAGAGGTGTGTTTGCTTTGAGTCAATGACTGTCTAAGCATTCTTATTACTGCAGTTATCTAAAAGTCTTCAAGGCCGAGAAAAAGCAACTAAAATATCCTCGATGAAGCTCTGGCTCAAGAGGAGAAGGAAATGGTGGACGTTTTTTTTTTTTTTTTGACAAAATAGAGCCACATGTGTCGTCCAGCGTCTCCTGGCTTCAGGCCTCACAGATGTAGCAGCAGGTCAGGGCACAAAGGCTGACTGTAAATGCCATGAACGTCAGAAAATGCACGGGGGGAGAAAAGTCACAACATTTATTAAACCGTCGACATCTTAATTGATCGGATTTCTCTTTAAGCCGGGGTAATAAAATTTAACAACCCTGTTTTAATAAATCTCTCTCACAAGCATCCATTTAGAGACCCAGATGGGCTGATGGTTTCTCTGTTTACTGACACTTCATTTTATCTTCAGATATTCTGTCTTAATATTTCAAATGGAAACTGTTTATATCTTTTAAAAGATTCCTGATGTAAATAAAAACACTTAAGAGAGGCTAAGCCACTTCATCAAATCATCATCTCCATGATGGACTGAAGCATTTTACATTTTCCACATTTGTAATCTTGCTATAAAGATCATAAATGTGTTTTATGTGGACTTTAGATGAAGCACACTTGCGGACCAAAATATGAAACATCTATTCACTAAATGCAACAAGCAGACATTCTCCTCTGACACAGAACTCAGGATGTGACGCACAAATGCTGTAATCTCCAGAATGATTGCATTCCATGGTGTGAGCTGTTCAATTAATTATCTCAAGACACTGCTCAAAGAGCAGGTGATGCTGTGAGCAGCAAGACCTTACTCATTGCTATATTACAAAGACGAGTGTTGTAGTACTCGGTATTGGTCTCAAGACCCCTTTTTGAAGGTCTCAGTCTCGTCTCGGAATCTAAAGCATTTTTACTCGATGTTGTCTCGGTCTCAGACTGGGCAGAGATAACTCCATGTTATCTATGTCTTCTTTTCAGTCGCTACTACTATAATGTCACATTATTACTATCTGACAGAATAGTGTTGTAGTCAAGACCACACTAACTGAGACCAGAGTGCTCCAAGACTGAGACAAGACCAAGACGTTTAGGGATCGAGACTGAGTTAAGACCAAGACCAAAAAAGATCATAAATATCTCTGAAAAATCATCATCTTGTGTGCAGGGGTTGTGTCACTTAATTAGACCGTAACACCGGGAAGGTTGGGGTCATAACCGGGAGATAAAAATCAAACTAAAAATTAATTTAATATATTTGTTCTTTCAGAAAGAGGCATTTTCCTTCTAATCACAATAATGACATGGAAAAATAGCCCACCAGTGGAGGTCTTGACCGGTCTTGATCGAGTAAAAATGCTTTAGATTCCCGAGATGAAGACTGTGACCTTCTGAAAGTGGTTTTGAGACCAAGACCGATTTCGAGTACTACAACACTATGTCAGATGGTTGCATACATTTGTGTGACTTGAAAATTGCAAACTGGAACTCGGCTGTCAAACAGCATGTTGGTGTCACAGCCTGAACGTGAGGTTAGACAAAAACTGAGGCTCTTGAGTTGTGCAAAAACAGCATGTCATTTTTAATAAATACTAAAGGCTTTTTAATTCCCATTGAGTCCATGTTGACAGGTTTGGGTGTTGATACTCCACGGGGAAAAGGCCAAATCCTCTAACCGTGCACACCACACATCATCATTCAACAGCTCGTCATCTTCTGTGTCTCTGAAGTCTGCTTCTTTTGAGTGACTTAAATCGCTCCTTGTCTTTTTGGGTGTGTGGGTGTTTCTGCAGATGTCGCTGGAAGTAAACATGAAAAATGGGTCTCCTGAGAAAGGGTAAGTGAAAGTAAAGTGAAATACAAGTGTAATGACTGACTGTGCTCTCAGAGAGATACAATTACAACCAGACAAACGTGAAATGTTCATATCTGTGTTTAGCTTCGATCACTAATAAAATCTGTTGTTTTCTCTGGGTTTGACACCTACACTGAGGAACAAGCTTTGGGTTAAGAGTCGAGTTCTGCTGGTGCAATAAAATGAGTGTTTGCAGGAAAGCGTCCAGCCTACATGTACATACACTGTGTGTGTGTGTGTGTGTGTGTGTGTGTGTGTGTGTGTGTGTGTGTGTGTGTGTGTGTGTGTGTGTGTGTGTGTGTGTGTGTGTGTGTGTGTGGGGAGGGTGTGATGAGGGAGCCAGATGACGGGCTGTAAAAAGTGAGATTTCATGTTTCCTTCCACTGTGAGAACAGCACACAGAGCAGATTACTCGCTGTAGAGTAAAACTTAACTTACAAAAAACTGGACTTCAGTACCCAGTGTGAACACTAGGTGTCAGAGTTACATATTGCTCCTTTAAATTTAATGTTTATTTTATTTGTTTGGATTCTTGCTTTGTAAGATAATTAAGACCTTCTGTCAGTGTGCTTTTAAAACTCATTGGAGAAAACAAAACTAGAAAAAAGTCTGAGATTAAAAGATGAGTATAGAAACAAAAAAAAACTTAGTAGAACTAGATTTTCAAAAAGGTAAAGAATGATTACAACATGTCTGAAAATGAACACTCGTGCTCAGCTCGAGAGTTTCAGTGTTAAACTGCTTCTCAGGTAGCGTTCTGTGTTAAATTAGTTTTGGTACCTGAGAGGGCAGCCAAAAATGCTCATCCTGGTCTTTAACTGACTGCAGATGGGTCTTTGATCCTTCGTTCTCTCTGTTCTGCCTGTAGAGCAGCTGGAGGTCAGAGTCAGTCTGTAGATATGATTTGAATAGAAGAAAATTTTAACTTAAAGGGGACATATTCGGAAAAATCCACTTTTACAGTGTTTTTGAGCATATATTTGGGTAACCTGAGTGTCTACTGACCCACAAAATGTGAAATAAACCCATCCAGTCATTTGTTTGTGGTCTGCATAAGTCTTACAACACAGAGAAAAATGCTCTGTTTCAAATGTGCTCTCCTTGTGATGTCACAGTGGGATTCTGGTTAAAAAAAAAAAACCTCCCCTCCCTTGGTATCTCCACCCATGGACTCCACCCACATCCTAGAGCAAAACTTACGTGCAGGTCCGCCATTTTTATTCTTGCTAGCGAAGGAGTGATGTCTACCAGGAAAACTCAGAGGGGGGGGCTCATTGCATTTAAAGAGACACACACACCAAAACGGAGCGTTCTGAGAGAGCTGGTTTATACAGGGTCACAAACCTCCTCTGGTGCTTGATTCATGTTATATTTTGGCCAAAGCACAGCACAGATGTTTCATTTAGACCACAGGGGACTGTTTGAAAAGGTGGAGAAAGGGGATAATTTGTCCTTAATCATTAGTTATATGTATGTTTTCACCTTTGAAATGAGCAAAGCCAACTGTTTCCCTCCGCTTCAATCTAAAACCTAAGCTAAATGCTGCATGCTCCGGGTTTTAAAGCTAAACTCACAGAAGTTATAGAAGTGAAACCCACTTAGAAAGAATTTTTATATTTCTTCAAGTGATTGATGAAAAAAAAGCAAAACAGTTTTGTTTTCCAGCTTCTAAAACACTGCTTTCCTTTATTTGAAATGATTTCAAACAGAATTTCTTTAGGTCTCAAGACTGTTTTCTGACCTTTGAGAACCTATGATGAGCAACGTTGTTTTTATTTATTTATTTTTTATAAAATTAGTTTGGGGAGGGGGTAGTTGAAGAGATATCAGTTCATGTGGCCCTACTGATGTGAATTTTATGAGAACAAAAGATAGCCTGTGAGACGATCAATCAACATGCATCTACAGACCATGACTGCCCCTCTCTCTCTCTCTCTCTCTCTATCTGTGTTTCAGTAAACCGGTTCCTCGTGGTTCTGCTGATCCTGATGGTGTGTTTGCTTCTGCACAGCACTCTGCTCAGAGCCTCAACTCGACCCAAACTCTCAGGTAGCCTTCAGACCGCTGACTGTATAAAGATTGACAACACATCTCCACCTCCTCCTGTTGTACAGAAGTGAAGCCAACACGCCTTCCTCTAACCGTCTCCCTACACACTTTGACTCCATACGCCCGCTTGTATGGAGGGTCCAAACACACATTTAACTTACCAATAACATCAAACTGTGCTCAGGCTGTTACAGACATGGAAATTTCAATGCTTCTTGTTTTAGTGTTTGTTACGTTTCCTCTCATCGTTCCTCCTCTACTCTGATAATCCAGAGCACACATCGCCTCATTCGTCAACAGAGTTGTCAATCATAGCCTATTTTTTAAGTATAGAATGACAAATTAAAACTAAACTTCTCAGATAAGTTTTTATGCTGTGCTGTGTTGGGGTGGCAGCATCTGTGTGGATGATAAAAACAGGATCAATAAGCTGATTAAAAAAGCTGGCTCTGTGATTGGCATTAGCCCAGACTCACCTGAGATCACTGTTCACTGGACCAAACTTTATACTGTTTTGATCTTTGAAGGCAAAGTGTTTTTAATGGACTCTGAAGCTCCTTCAGTGAGCGATTAGTGATGCCACAATTTTCCACTGAACGGCTCAGGAGGTCCTCTGTTCCTGCAGCAGTCCGATATTTTAATGAACATTTTTAATTGTGTTTCTGACTCATGGCTGTACATGATTATTCAAATGGTTTCAGTGGTGTTTGGTATTTGTTAACTTGTTGTGTACTGTGATGTACTGTCGATATTGTTTGTTGTGTGTATGAACTGACCAGGTGACAACTGAGTTTCCCCGCTGGGGATCAATAAAGTTTTCTAATCTTATCTAAATTGACACTCAGACATAGGCATGGGGCGGGGCTTATTTACTATACTTTAGCCAGTCAGTAGAGGGAGCTCCAAATGTTTTGGCTTCACTTTCTGGGAGCTTTTGTGTTGTCCATCTTTTTATAAAGTCTGTGACCTCCTCTCTCCCATGTTGCACCAACATTTTTTTCTAGAGTATCCTCGAATGGAGGAACCAAACAGCGTTTAGAGATGGCCTTTCCGTTCTTTTGAAAGTCAATTCTCCTACTTTCTTGGAAACAGAATTGATGGGAACTGCAATCTCGCCACTTGATCTAAATTTATCCTACGCTCATCTTTTGAATCTTAACGAAACGTACGAGAAACGCACTCCAATAAGTGTCGTTCTTATGCAGAACAGTGTATGGTTATTTTCTTTAGTGTCTCTTAACTCAAAATGAGAGAAACAGTCTTCATCCTTTCTTCTCTGATTTCTCTCAGATCGCAGGAAGAACGTCGGAAAATCTGCAGGAGTCCCAGCAGGGAAGGTGTCAGAGGCGGATGACGTCGTCCCCGTTATCGTCTGTGCGTCTGAGGAGCGTATGGGTGCCAGCATGGCTACAATCAACAGCGTCCATAGTAACACAGACGCCAGCGTATTCTTCTATATCGTAACTCTTCGTGATGCCGTGAAACTGACGAGGTTGGCCTCTGAATCCCATTTAAAAAACTATTTCACATTTTAACCGTTTGGGTCCTTGACTCTTTGTAAACGGTATTTTGGAGAGTGTTGGAGATCAAGTGTCTGGGGTTTTCACACTGTTTTTCGTTTATCACAAACACATAAAAAAAATGTGTTTCTCTTATGTTCTGAAAATACCGTGTAAATAATGAATCTGTCATTTTTCTAAATATGGAGAAGTTGGCAGGTTCCTACCAACCTGTATTATTACCTATGCAGACGACTTTCATGTTTATTTACCGAATCATTCTATCTTTGCGTCTCCCCAGGAAGTACATGGAGAAGACTAAACTGAAAGGCATCAAGTATAAGATAGTGGAGTTTAACCCCATGGTGCTTAAAGGAAAAGTGAAGCCAGATTCATCTCGCCCTGACCTGCTGCATCCTGTGAGTCGAGGGTTTCGTTTTTTTGAATGTATCATTCTGTTTATTTTAGATGAACATAAAGCGTTTAATTTCTCAACTCTTGTTTTGCAGCTCAACTTTGTGCGCTATTACTTACCTCTGCTCGAAATCAGCCACAAGAGGGTGATATACTTGGATGATGACGTTATTGTGCAGGGTGAGTATGGGATTGTTTTTTATTAACTATCCTATGTGGATCTCTCTTCCAGATGAAACCTTTTGATGGCTGACATATTGATAGAACTTAGCTTTTTCAGTTATTAACATAGGCAACTGCGGCTCAGTGGTGGAGTCGGTTGTCTCTCAGCTCCTGCAGCAACATGTCCGATGTGTCCTTGGGCAAGACACTTAACCCCAGGTTGTTCCCACTGGTTCGTCGACGGCGTGTGAATGTGTATGAATGGATTAGCTAATACTGATGGTCACTTTGCACAGCAGCCTCTACCATCAGTGTGTGAATGTGTATGAATGGATTAGCTAATACTGATGGTCACTTTGCACAGCAGTCTCTAACATCAGTGTGTGAATGTGTATTAATGGATTAGCTAATACTGATGGTCACTTTGCACAGCAGTCTCTAACATCAGTGTGTGAATGTGTAGGTGTGACCTGAGGTGTAAAAGTGCTCCTCCTCTGGGGGAAGAAATTAAGGCAGCATTTATTTTGCAGAAATGTCTGGAGGGGAGAATTTGGCATCACATTTCTTTCCTGATTCTTGGTGTAAAGAAAAAGTGATGATCAGTATGCCTGAGGCTATACTGTGAACTGAAAGGAATTAGGAATTGTTTCAAATATGGAGGAAAATTTAAAAAGATACACATAAAAGTAAATAGCGACCAATATAATTTCCCTCTGGACTTTGGAGCCATCCAATATACACCGTCGCTGATAGATTTCGAGACTGCCAATGTGCTAAAATGTAAAGCAGAGGGTAAAAGTGATGTATCCGTGAAGAGAAATAGCGTAAACTTAAAGAATACAACATGCTTTTTCTGTTCTTCAGGTGACATTAAGGACCTTTTTAATATCAAACTGAATGCCGGCCATGCGGCTGCTTTCGCTACGGACTGCGACCTTCCCTCCACACATGAGATGGTGCGCAGCATCGGCATGCAGGTGGATATTTTTTTTACCTTTCATTACATCAGTGGTGATGAAGGAACATCACATGGGCATGTGTTTGAAAAGCAAACCCAGGAAAAACAAGAACATTGTATTTATAGCTAAATTAAATTGGAATCCATGTATTTCATGGATGTAATATTCCTGGACAGACTGTCTCTAGTTATATTTTAACTCTGCTCTGGTTACTGAAATTTGGCGTCCTCTCCTCTGAGCTCTCCCTGTAGACGACTTACATGGGCTTCCTGGACTACAGGAAAAAGGAAGTTAAAGACCTGGGCATCCACCCCAGAGACTGCTCTTTCAACCCGGGTGTGTTTGTGGCCGACATCAACGAATGGAAGAAGCAGAAGATCACCAAACAGCTGGAGAAATGGATGGAGGAGAATGTCAGGTATAATCTGTCACTACCATCTGTTTGTAGAAACCCGCACAGCATTTTGGCACATATCCTACTGTGAGGGAGTTTAAAGGTCACATATCCTCCTCCTCTTCAACTCTTCAACTAGTTTAAATAAGTCTCATAACTCCCCAAAACATGTGTGTGAAGTTTCTTGTTCTTAATCCACTCTGATCCTGTATTTGATCATGCCTATAAAACCCTCTATTTCAGCCCTGCTCAGAACAGGCTGTTTCTGTGTCTGTACCTTTAAATATGTAAAGGAGCTGTGTCTGACCACGGCCCCTCTCTGTCTCAGGCTTTCTCGCTCCATGCCCTTATGTCTACGGTGAGAAGGCAGACTAAGAGGGCAGAACAAACACCTAGCTGTGGGATTTCATTATCCGAGCAGTGTAACCGGTTTTTACCCCGTCAAGTTTGAGTTCTCTATATCGATGATTTTGTGGATTCATTTTAGGGACTGATTTGGGATGTTTTCTTCATACTATACTAGTCTACCTAAAGTAATACAACACCTTGCAATACAGCTCAATGTATTGATTATACTTCCTGTTTCTTGACTTGAATCATATCACCAGACTCTTGATGTTGGACACATGATTTCTTTGCAATGTCAATGAAGCATCACATCGTAATCACATATTACATAGATTTCACATTTTCACCTCACACCCAAAATCACCCTTTAACAACCTCCCATCCCATGAACCCAACCCTCCAAACTTGTCTACATGGCACAGCACAGTCTGATATTACCGACTAGATGAGGTATCAACATGGTAAATTAAGCACACAGTACTCAAAGGTACATACACTGTTGTCCGTCAATACAGATAACAGAGCCTCCCATGATCTTTCAGCTATCCCTCCTTGGTCTAGGAATCACCTTCCAGAATACTTTGCATATTCTTGGCAGATTTTTTAAATTAAAAGTGGAGTATTAGAAGCCTTTGCTTGATCAGAGACATTTTTCTCCTTTTCCACCAGACAGAACATCTACAGCAGTGCGGTGGCGGGAGGCGTGGCCACACCGCCCATGCTTATAGTGTTTCATAAGAAATACACACAACTGGACCCAATGTGGCATGTCAGACACCTGGGTAAGATCAATACCTATTCTCACAGAGAAGTATTTCAGTGTAAGGTATCTGAGATGGTCAGTAAGTTATTTTGAAAGTATATAATGCACTAGATAACACAGTTTGAACGTTTTAACCCGGTTTCCAGGCTGGAGTCCAGACGCCGGTATTCAGAGAGCTACTGCAGGGGGCGCACCTGCTGCATTGGAACGGCCATTTAAACATGGAATTACCCTGCGGTGCATTAGATCTGTGGAGAGATGGTTCGTCCCTGACCCCTCCGGAAAGTTCTCCTTGGTACGACCGGAGAGTGACAGCTGAGGTCTGCGGAACATACCATATGTAAGCAATGGGGGACAGCGATAAAAAATGTGATTGTGAAGTTCAGAGTTGATCTACCTTCATCATTGAAGGTGAAAAAAGAAATGTGAAGTGAATGTTAGACTGAGAAAATTGGACTGCAGTACCCATTTTAAACACTAGGTGTCCGAGTTACATATTGCTTCTTTAAACATCTTCAGAACTTGTTTTCCACTTTTTTCATCTTTTCTTCGACTTAAATTCTTTACACACCAACTCATTGTGAAAAGAACGAGACCTACTTTAGGTCATTAGCCATCTTTAAATAAAGACCAATGCTGTTCATCTTTTTCACCGTTTCTCACTTTATTTTCCTGTCACAGTCTGAGTGTGAGGTTGACTCGATTATTTAAGTCATAAAAAAACTAACAATGATGGGGGGGGTCAGCAATCAGCTCTGAGGTAAACTCCTGTAGTCTGGCGGCTTTAAAGAGATCTTACAGCTGTTTCTATAAAAGGAAGAAGATGCAACTTTTTGATCAGCAGATGTCGCCCTTGAGCACAGCATGAAACCAAAACAACTCGCGCTGCATTGTTGTGCTAGCATCCTAATGCTAGCGATCTTTATTATGCTCGTATCTTCACACTGCATGTAAATTTACCTGAAATGAGCGTGATCTAGAAACACAGTTAAGCAGTGAGTACAGTATGTTATTCTTCTTTTCTCTAGTCCCTCAATTAAACAACTTTTATACGTGAGGGGAGGAGTCGGTGATGTAAACAAAGATGTAAACAAGTGAAGATAGGACTCTGAAAGCATCACAGACAGTGGAAACTCGATGTTACACCATTGTAGACAGTCATGACTCAGAGTTATTTTCAGAGGATATACTTGATTTTGCTACATTTAAGTGTGAAAATCACATATTTTCCTTTAAAAGCAACTTATAGTTTTAGTTATGTATCTGTCAGGATCGCTACATTTAAGTGTGAAAAATCACATATTCTTCCTTTAAAAAAGCAACTTATAGTTTTAGTTATGTATCTGTCAGGATCCTTTCTGTAATGGTGTCGCAGAATACCGACCTGAGCCTGTGGGGGACAAAAACAACATCTTTGAGTGGATGAATACAGATTATATTATGGCCAATCAGAGCAGAAGCAGCATTTGTCACACGGTTTACATGAAATAATGTTTGTCTCTCTTTCAAAATAATGTAAAACATTGAGCTAAAGATTATTTAAAAAAAAATACTTATTGATGTCATTCCATGAAATGTGAATTTCCTGCTTTGGTGTTGTAATAGTAGATAACAAAAAAAAAAATATATATATATATATATATATATATATATAAAAATAATGACAAGCCGCTAGCTTTTCACTTCCAGGCTTGTGTCTGTATAGTTTCACCTGAAATGTTTGTATAATTGCGCACAACTGTTTTATTAAAGAGGACATATTATTCTCCTTCTCCACCTTTTCAAATAGTCCCCTGTGGTCTAAATGAAACATCTGTGCTGTGCTTTGGCCAAAATATAACATGAATCAAGCACCAGAGGAGGTTTGTGACCCTGTATAAACCAGCTCTCTCAGAACCCTCCGTTTTGGTGTGTGTGTCTCTTTAAATGCAATGACCCCCCCCCCTGAGTTTTCCCAGTAGACATCACTCGTTCGCTAGCAAAAATAAAATGGCTGACCTGCGCAAAAGTTTTGCTCTGGGCTTGGGTTGGAGTCCATGGGTGGAGATACCAGGGGAGGGGAGGGGATTTTTTTTTTTTACCAGAATCCCACTGTGACATCACAAGGAGAGCAAATTTGGAACGGAGCATTTGTCTCTGTGTTGTAAGACTTATACAAACCACAAACAAATGGGTTCATTTCACATTTTGTGGGTCAGTAGACACTCAGGTTACCCAAATATATGTTCAGAAACACTGTGAAAGTGGATTTTTTTTAATAATATGTCCCCTTTAGACAACGACATTTAGGAGGGGGAAGTGGTTTTATACTGTCTTGTAATAAATATGTAAAGTTTATGACACATGCATAAAGAGGAGGATCAGTAATGTGAAGGGTGTGTCTCCCATGGCCACACTTCTCAGGAAATTAAACTGAAAGTAACTCAGAGGCAGCGCTGACTTCAGCAGTCGAGAAAAGTTTCCTAAGAAGAAAACAATCCACGTCCTCATTTGACAGACCAGCAGAACCTCTGCAAACAACCAGTGAGTACAGTCTCTATTAATCATTGTATGAAAAGAAAATAACATTTGCTTGGTTTTAGACGGATAAACATTTTTAAAACTTGTCTGGACAGTTTTTCTGTGAGGTGTGTTGTTGAGTAGGCCTGCAATGTACACAGTTGTTACCTAATTACATCACATTTAATTAATAAACTTGATCATTTATAATATTTTGGCTTCCAAATGACACTAAGCAATCTGTTACTAGTGACTGCAATCAAGTGAGCCCTCTTTTGCAAAACCCCAGTCAAGCCAGCTGGCGATTGAAAAATGATGCATGTGCTTGGAGTGCCCAAAAAGAAAGAATGCAGCTGCGTATTCCAGCAAAAGATACCATCAATAATGACGGCTGAAAGAAAAGAAAACACAATGTCAGGACAAGAAGGGTTCACTGGATAATTATTCCTCATGTCCCTGTCTGTGGTCCTGAGAATTTTTAGCAGATTTTACTGTACATTTTTTAATTCAAGGTAAAGTCTGCTCAAATTACATTGAGACACTGATATTTGAGTCATATTTACTATTTTATTTTGAACAATCTGTGACAGTTGACAATAAACTTTTACTGGGTTATTGTTCCTAATGTCCCTGACTGTAGTCCTGAGAATTTTCAGCAGATGTTACTGTATAATTTTTTAGATAATTAAAGGTAAAGTCTGCTCAAATTGCATTGAGACGCTTTGATATTTTAGTCATTTTGATTATTTTATTTTGAAAGATCTGTGACGGGTGACAAGAAACCTTTTGCCAACCTTTTACCTTTTGAAATTGCCAACCTAAAGTCTGCTCAAATTCCACTTGATATGATAATATCGGTTGATATTATTGGTTGGCCAATTAATCGGTTGGGCTCTATTGAGAACATAATTTTACCATTTAACCAAACACATCAGGGTGATGAATATTAATTTTATTCTCTAATCTTTAATTATTCTGCCAATATTTATTGAAACCCCCCCCCCAACACACACGCAACGTTGACATGGACAATTGTCTTTCTCATGGTTGTATTGAGAAGAGGCTAATGCTTTCATACATATAGGGAGAGCGAGTCGCCACTCGTTAGTTGAAAGCCCCTATTCCAACAAGCAGTCTGGTTCAGGTCGGTTCAGTAAGGTAAGGGACGCATTTATTGCCATTTCCATTGTATTTGGGATTGTTTGGGAATGGCAGCGAAATAACCAATCCGCACCGTCTTACATTTTTGCTACCCTTTTGTTAAGGTGCCAAGCGTACTGACTGAGCCAGACACACTGCAGTCCATTGATTGGTCTAAAGAAATCGTCACCTCCTGTGTAACAAACACAAAATGCGCTATGTTTAAATATCCTACGGATTTTGAGAGAGGGATTTTAAGGCTATTTTTGTTTTCTGTGTCTAAGTTCAGCGTTTAGCACCACCCCATGGACAACCTTGGAGGTGCAGACCTCTGCTGGACGTCCTCCATTGTTGCCCCATGTTTACTGTGTCACTTTCTTCTTTTTTGTTCAATTTATAACATATCTGCACCACTATCGCTTTCCGGATTACATCCCGTCTACCAAGTAAGGGTAAGGTTGGATGTGGAAACGCAAGCAAGCTCAGGGTTTACCGTACCAAACTGTACCAAAACATTCTGAATCAAACCGGACCCATACGGACATTGTGGAAAGCCCTGCCTATGTGTACTTGTTGAATGGAACTGGTCCTGATATAACTGTCTGTCTTTTTTTTTAGACATGGCAGCAGTGAGCAGTCTTCTCCATGAAGATCAGTTTCTCTGCTCCATCTGTCTCGATGTGTTCACTGATCCAGTCACCATACCATGTGGACATAACTTTTGCAAGACCTGCATCACCGAGCACTGGAGTGTAAATGTCCCATGCCAGTGTCCCCTGTGCAAAGAGCTTCATGAGAAAAAACCTGACCTGCGGATCAACACAGTTTTATCGGAGATGGCTTCTCAGTTAAGACTGTCAGTTCAGAAGGAAACCAGCAGCAGCTCAGAGGAACAACCCGCCAACACAGGAGAAGTTCTCTGCGATTATTGCACTGAAACCAAACAGAAGGCCCTGAAGTCCTGCCTGGATTGTCTGGTCTCCTACTGTGAGACTCACCTGGAGCCTCATCAGAGAATCCAAGCTCTGAAAAGACACAAGCTGGTCAATCCCGTGGAGAACCTTGAAAGCAGGATCTGTAAGAAGCACGAAAGACCTCTGGAGCAGTTCTGCAAAACTGACCAGGTATGTGTGTGTGGATTCTGTATTGAGTCAGAACACAAGAGTCATCAAATAGTTTCTCTCAGAGAAGAATATGAAGCAAAAAAAGCGGTGCTGAGCGAAACTGAAGCTGAGGTTCAGAAGATGATCAAGGAGAGACAAGTGAAGATTGAGGATTTCAAACAGTCTGTGAAGCTCAGCAAGGAAGACGCCGACAGAGAGACGGCTACAAGTGTGCATGTGTTCACTGCTTTGATCCGGTCCGTTGAGGAAGGCCTGGCCCAGCTCATTGACTTGATCAAGGAGAAGCACAGCACAACAGAGAAACAGGCTGAAGATTTCATCAAAGTGCTGGAAGAGGAGATCTCTGAGCTGACGAAGAGAATCACTGAGGTGGAGGAGCACTCACGCAACAAAGACCACCTCCAGTTCCTAGAAAGCTTCCCATTGCTGAACCCTGCTCCACCCACCAAAGACTGGACAAAGGTCAGAGTTTACTCATCATATGAGCGCCGTAAAGCTTTAAGAACAGCTTTGGCTCAGCTGCAGGAGATGGTCACCAAAGAGGTGAAGAAGATGTGCTCTGATGTCGAGCTGAAGGAAGTCCAACAGTTTGCAGTAGATGTGACTCTTGATCCCGAAACAGCTCAGCGTGAGCTCATGCTGTCTGATGATGGGAAGCAAATCCGCCATGCATCTATTAAACGGATTTATTCAGACAGCTCAAAGAGATTTTTAAGTCATTTCTGTGTGGTAGGAAAGCAGAGTTTCTCTTCAGGAAGATCTTACTATGAGGTTCAAGTTGGAGGGAAGACTGATTGGCTTGTGGGAGTGGCCAGAGAGTCTATTAACAGAAAAGTACCCCTCACATTTTCTCCTCAGAAAGGTCTCTGGACTGTTTGGCTGGATGAAGGAAAGTTCAAAGCTTATACTGACCCTCCAGTCAATTTGTGTTTGAATTCAAAGCCTCAGAAAGTTGGAGTGTTTGTGGATTACGAGGAGGGTCTGGTCTCTTTTTATGATGTAGATGCTCCAGCTCTCATCTACTCCTTCACTGGCTGTAACTTCACTGAGAAACTCTTCCCAATATTCAATCCAAAAAATAATAATGGCGGTAGAAACTCCACCCCACTGATCATCTGTCCGGTCAATAAGACTGATTAAAATGATCACACGTCAGATCCCAATCGTCTTACAACGATGTATCATCTGGTGGTCAAGTTGAACTTTCAGCATTTCTTGTGAAGTGAAATTACTTCCGACCTAGACGTCCTCTCTGTGTGCTGAACTCATTACAGTCCAATTAAAAACTTCAAAATCAAAAGTGAAGCCAAATTTTCCCCTCCAGATATGTCCCCAAAATAAACGCCATTGTGTCATGATGATTCATTACATCCCCCTGAGTAATGCTGTCTGTCTGTTAAAGGAAGAATATGTGATTTTTCACAATTAAATTTAGCAGAAATCAAGTATATCCTCTGAAAATAACTCTGAGTCATGACTGTCTACAATGGGTGTAACACCCGAGTCCCACTGTATGTCATGCTTTCCGAGCCATATCTTCACTTTGTTTACATTATCAGGACGGCCGGCTGACTCTTCACCTTGCGTATAAAAGTTGTATAATTGAGGGACTAGAGAAAAGAAGAATAACTAAAGATCGCTAGCATTAGCATGCTAACACAACAATCCAGTGTGAGTTGTTTTGGTTTCATGCTGATGCTCAAGGGCGACATCTGCTGGATCAAAAAGTCACACATTCTTCCTTTAAAGCTTGCCAAAATATGGCAATCATGATGTATTTGAAAAAAGTTTAAAATCTGGCTTTGTCAGGTCCGTCGCAAAGAGGCTAGGACACTTCTTCTTTTCGTTGATTGGAGGTTAAATCAACCATTTCTGATGCATTCCAAGACATCAGGAGATTTAAACACTGATTGACTTTTGTAACTCTGTCAGGACAGATTTGTCCCACAAGTAGAAATGTTCAATGTAAATTGGATTGTTAGCTGCACCTGATGCAGATGTTGGTTCATAGAGATAATTGAATGTCGTCAGATTAACGCCAATGGGCACTGTGATGTCGTAGATTGGGTTTTCTGCCTGCTTTTGCTCTCCATATGTATTGTTTTGACTACACTGCACTGTTCTGTTGACCACAAATGTAATACAATCAGAGAGCAGAACACATCCCAGACCTGTTCGTGTATGTATATATTTTTTTACACAGTTAAAACGAATCCTCCACTGTGTCTCTTTTAAATGGAAAATGTAAATAAGGATTTTTAAGAGAGCGGACTTTGATCTACTTGTCCGACTCTGATCTTGTGTCAGCCTCTTTTTAATAATGATAAACCTTCATGCTTTTTTTCTAATTTGCTTTCGTCGGTCATATATAATCAATAGCACTCATTTCTGTCTGTTTCATAATCAGCAACAATCTCCTTTGAGGAGCTTTAATCATTTGTATTTTTTTGTATTCTTTGGTTTCCCTTTACTGTAGAAATCCTTGCATTTCTATATAACTTCAAAGGTGGGGGAGGCATCTCTGAAGAAAGAAGCCTCACTCATAAATCAGCAGGAGGAAGGGGGGAGCAGCTCATTGTTGTCTTCAATAGTCAAACTTAAGCTTTAGTGCATTGTGCATTAGTGCCTTCTAATCACAATAATGACGTGGAAAAATAGCGGTGGTCTTGATTTTAAATTTGGAGTCTGCCCAGTCTGAGGACAAGACAAGATCGAGTAGAAAGCTTTGATTCTGAGACGAGCCGAGACCTTCAAGAAGTGGTCTCGAAACCAAGACCGATTTGGAGTACTACAACACTCGGGCTCTGATCATACTCATGAGTATATGGGCAGAGCGCATGCACAGCAAGTAGGCAATCCAATAAGTTCTGTCGATCCAACAGAAATTATAGGAAGGACTTTTTACAGGCTTGTGAAGCTGATAATAATGTCAATTTGAGGTTGTAGAAGGGAAAACTAATGTGCATACATCCAAGAGAAATGTATACAGGTGCAGGACTAAAAATTTATAAACTGCAGAAAAAAAGAAACATCCACACACTGTTCAGCTCCCAATGAGCAACTTTATTTTAAACAGGGCAACGTCTCGATCCAATAGCCCGAGGATGACCTTTTGGAATCAAAAACTCTATTTCGCTATCCCTACTGGGAGCTGAACAGCGTGCAAACTTAAGGTCGTGAGACTCTACATTTGTCCCTAAAGAATAAGTACACTTTGGTTCAGCTCCACTGGGTGGCGCCAGAAAGATACTCAAGATCGTTTGGGATTCAGTTATATTTCAGTTTGACAGTTCAAGATTTTTTTAATCTGACTGAGAGCAAATCAGGAACTCTGTGTGAGAAAAGATCATATTGTGTTCATGTAAGTGCATCAAACTTTCACATGCAGTCTTAATAAACGCACAAAGTGATGCTACATGTGCTTAAATACAAGATAATACAAACCTGTAATATCTCATTTAAACTCTGTCATCGTGAAGCACCACTCATTAATGGTGAGTTAGGATAAATTTTTTCAAGATCACATTTTACATAATTACTTATTCCTAATACTTTTTTCTCTTTATATGGATTAACTTGATTTCATGCTGTGCATTTACTCACCTCATGTTGAACCACCTAAAGCTGTTTCTTGTATGAAAGTTGTGTACTTAAATAAAATTTATAATCATCTGTATTTTATGGTTGCATAATTTCTCCATGTCCTGTTAATAAAACTTTACTCAGGAAGAAAATTCTCAATGTGTTCAGACCATGTCAAGAAAAATCTCTTTAGAACATATTGCACTCCTCTTTATACTGCCCCCTTGTGGACCAGGTTTAAAAATGCATGCTTACAAAAGCTCAAAGGCAGAATGTGCAACATTTTAAACATAAATAAATCAGAAATCAAGTCTATCCTGTGTAAATGTCTCTCTGAGTCATGACTGTCTACAATGAGTGAGAAGCTTGAGTCCCGCTGGCTGTGTTGTCAGAGCCATGTTTACATGGACGGGACGGCCGGCTCCTCCCCATACGTATAAAAGGTGTTTTAGTCAAGGACTAGAGAGAAGAAGAACATGCTCACTGATTATTTAGATGTTACGTTTTTAGATCATGGTCGGAGGATTCAGAGTCGCCAAATAGCAGTTTGTTTTGGTTTCATGCTGGTGCACAAGGGCCACATCTACTGGATCAAAAAGTCACACATTCTGTCTTTAAGCAAAAATAGGAAATTTAAAATACAAAAAATGAAGAACACAAAACAACAAGAGGCAGCAACACACAATAAATACTTAAAACAATTAGTAAACATTACAGCTTCATCCAGAGTCTTTTGAAAGTGGAGTAACTTTGTTTAATTTGTCAAAATTATATTTGCTTTTAATATTCAGAATAATAACATGTGTAATGTGAAATATAATCAGTTCATCTGGTCATTAAGTCACGTTTATGTTTTCATTAAGTCAAGATGAACTGATCACAAAGTGGTCAGATGGGCTGCATGAAGAGGTGGATGAATAATGAGGAAGGGGCGTGCCCCCCCCCGCTGCCTTCACTGCAGCACATCTGCTCACAGTCAAAATCTTTTCAGGAAATGAAACTTAAAGTAGCTTGAAAACTTCAGTGGTCGAGATAAGTTTCTTTTTCCCAAAAAACTCACTTCACGTCCTGCAGAACAAGAGAACCTCTGCACACCAGTGACCGGTGAGTATGGTTTAATATGATTATTTTTAGCTGGTAATCAATCAAAGGGTTATAATAGGGAAGGGGAATCGAGGACAATAATACAAAAGACTCTGAAGCCGTTTTTTTTCTGTGTAGTCACGATTGTGAAATCGTAGTCATCCAGTAGTGCAAGCTTTTTCCTTCCTGTGTCGATAAGTTGTAGCTTGGCTGTCTGTGTCTCCTGTAAAGGAGGATTTCTGTATTTGTAGCCTGGTCCATATTTCTTTTTCTTTTTTTGGCTTCTAACGGCTGAAAAACTAGAGGAGAGCGGGGTCGGTTGTCACAGTGCTTATTACAGCCAAATGTCAGGGCACTGTTACATCACGTTGATATAAAATATCTGGCTCGATGTCATGGTTATTCCTATCGAAAAATGTTTTAAAGTAAACAAAAAAAATTAAGGTGAGAAGACATTTTGTAATTTTTATGGGTCAGAGTAAATCAAAGCTGGCAAGCTTAAGCCATGTGGTGGCTATGGTGTAAAACCTCAGTCACGAGGTGAGGTGTGGATGTTTGTCTCACATGTAATTCATTCACATAAAGCACTAACCAGTCGCATAATGTTGGACATGAAAGCTGTCAATGATTTCAAATGTTTTATGTACACACTCCCATCCATCCACAACACAGAAATGTTTTTCTTCAAGTTTAAAATGATTATTTTTAAAAGCAGAAATAGCTGTTAAGTCACTCTTTCAAGGAAACCGGATTCCACTGACAAAACAGGAACATTAGCATGTAGAACTCAGAAGTTACTCGTCTACTTTTGCTTGATTGGTTAAGTGTTTTGTGTTTTGCGTAATATTGAGTTGGATCCCCATAAACCCTCTGAATTTAAAAAGTAGGCCCCACCGATATGGGATTTTTGAGGCCAATATCGTGATGGGGAGAGAACAGATACCGATATGTGTGCCAATATCTTTCTTAGATCTATGTTTGATCTGTAGAGAGAGATTTAGATATGCAAATTTATTGCACTGAAACACTTAAAAAAGATATTTAATGAAGACAAGATCAGTCAAGGTCAGCCATCTGGAAAGGAACTGTGCATGTAGGTGCATCAACGCTTGACACTATGGAGAGGGTTGATGCTTCTTATAATCCATATAGCGCCCTCTGCTGGTTACAGCCAGAAATAGAACTGCTAATGTATTACAAAGATACTCAAATTAAATGCTATTTCACTGGTAAATAAATCGAGTAATATTCGTGTATATATGCGATAAAATTAGCCAATACCGATAGTCATATCCAAGGTGAAGATGAAGGTTCAGAACGGCTCAGTGATTAATCGGTCGGGCTCCACTTAAATCTTAAGGATAAAAGTAGTGGTAAACTAACTACTTATGTACTCTGCAAGGTAAAGCAACTTTCAATGGAGCCTGGTGGGTTTTAGAGGCCATTGATGACCCATGATGGCACTTGCTAGCATATATCTTCTGGTGTCATCACAGGGTTGTGTTCCTTTTCGCCTTCTCGCATTACAGGTTTTAGACTATTAAAGTAGCAATAACTAGAGGTAGGCGCTGGTTTTTACTGACATTTTTGGTTGCAGTTGCAGCCATTCAGCCACCCTTAAGGGGCTGTCATCAGCTTGGCACTCTGGTTGCTGCCTCATGAACTGTACATATCAAAATTCTTTGTTACTGAGGGCAGCGTGCTCTCACCCACCCCAGCAAAGTTCTCTTTTTTGCATCGGGCATTACACTTAGCATCTGTGTGTCCACTTGAGATAACTTAAATGTGGAGTCAGGAGAAATGTTCGTTGCAGTTTATAAACACAACATTCAAACTGGGCCCCTCCCCCTGGGCTCATCACCCACAGAAGTGCACACTCACTGTAGAATGTATTGTGTATGTTTACTGCTTGTACCTACACTGCAAGCTACAGCACGCTAGCACAAGCCAACCAATGTCTTGTTTGGTACACAAATGTTACACACCATAGCAGCGCTTTTGTAAAAGCTAACCTGGTTAGTGTCAGATACAATGTGGTTGTTCCTGTTTTGTTTTTGTAAACAAAACAGTGTCAGTGAGATTAGGTCAGTGTCCTGTAATGTGATATTATCTTAACAAGCTTTAGCTAGCTTACATTTGTTGTTTTGTAGAATCTTACAGCATCTGTTTTTTTCCCACTTCTGGCATAGGTCCTTTGTCATAATTATCAATGCAGTTGACTTGTGCTTTTACTGGCACCAGCTTGCATCCGTGGTATAGCAACTGTGGTTGTACCTTGTACCTTTTTCCGAACAACTCATCATACAGTGGCAGCATTTGTACTCAATCGTTCCCAGTCATTGCTGGTGGCTCCACCATGTTTAGCCATCATTGTTGAGGCCTTTATGGCTCATCTGCTGCCTGAGGACAGTCATACGCTGTGTCCCTCCTGCCCCAGCCCACATTTCAGTATGTAGATTGGAGAACAATGCTCTCTGAGACTCCATTCTTATGCTACTTCCAATGATAGGACCCTGGCAGCAATGCAGGATGTTGCATAAGTTGGCACGGGCTAAGACCAACCATTTCGGGGGTTAATGTATCTCCTGAAGAGGCCCTTTCATTGGAGGTGCAGTATCCTGCTTCCATTATAGGGGTGATCACTTGTCCAAAACTATGATGCAACAGCTAACATTGTGGGGGGTACTCCATGTCCCACCAAATGCTTGCCGTCTCAGCCTCTGGCCAGGATACTTCCCTGAATGCATCGGTGTCCAGTCTCTGGCCATATACTGATGAGGAAAGAGATGGGGTGGGTAATGTCCATGCTTGTCAATGCTCACCACTAGGTATGGCTGGCTAAGTCACCCCTTACTGGGGCATGCAGGAGGATCCTGGGGAACTGTTGGGTTTGCTGCTAGAGTGTTGCTTGCAAGCCCAGGACCTTTACCCAAATATGTATTACAAGGCACAGATTTAAAAATGCCAGAATTTGTGCCTGGTTGTCCACTGCTGTTTTATTTCCTGAACTTGTTAAGATGCTTAACATAACAGTATTACTGAAATATTGTCCAATACTTTTCTAACTGATAAAGTGATATGCCACGTATGTAGCTTCTCATCTCTCAAAGGAGTCTGATTTTATCTAGCTTTTCTTCCAGACATGGCAGCAGTGAGCAGTCTTCTCCATGAAGATCAGTTTCTCTGCTCCATCTGTCTCGATGTGTTCACTGATCCAGTCACCATACCATGTGGACACAACTTTTGCAAGACCTGCATCACAGAGCACTGGAGTGTAAATGTCCCATGCCAGTGTCCCCTGTGCAAAGAGCTTCATGAGAAAAAACCTGACCTGCGGATCAACACAGTTTTATCGGAGATGGCTTCTCAGTTAAGACTGTCAGTTCAGAAGGAAACCAGCAGCAGCTCAGAGGAACAACCCGCCAACACAGGAGAAGTTCTCTGCGATTATTGCACTGAAACCAAACAGAAGGCCCTGAAGTCCTGCCTGGATTGTCTGGTCTCCTACTGTGAGACTCACCTGGAGCCTCATCAGAGAATCCAAGCTCTGAAAAGACACAAGCTGGTCAATCCCGTGGAGAACCTTGAAAGCAGGATCTGTAAGAAGCACGAAAGACCTCTGGAGCAGTTCTGCAAAACTGACCAGGTATGTGTGTGTGGATTCTGTATTGAGTCAGAACACAAGAGTCATCAAATAGTTTCTCTCAGAGAAGAATATGAAGCAAAAAAAGCGGTGCTGAGCGAAACTGAAGCTGAGGTTCAGAAGATGATCAAGGAGAGACAAGTGAAGATTGAGGATTTCAAACAGTCTGTGAAGCTCAGCAAGGAAGACGCCGACAGAGAGACGGCTACAAGTGTGCATGTGTTCACTGCTTTGATCCGGTCCGTTGAGGAAGGCCTGGCCCAGCTCATTGACTTGATCAAGGAGAAGCACAGCACAACAGAGAAACAGGCTGAAGATTTCATCAAAGTGCTGGAAGAGGAGATCTCTGAGCTGACGAAGAGAAACACTGAGGTGGAGGCGCACTCACGCAACAAAGACCCCCTCCAGTTCCTCCAAAATTTCTCATCTTTGAAAACTCCTCCACCCACCAAGGACTGGAAAACGGTCAAAGTTTACTCATCATACGAGGGGACTGTGAGGACAGCTCTGACTCAGCTGGAGGAGACACTCAGCAGAGAGATGAAGATGCTTTGTGCTGATGCTGAATTAAAAAAGTACAAGCAGTACTCAGTGGATGTGACCCTCGATCCTGAAACAGCTCATCCCAGACTGATACTGTCTGATGATGGAAAGCAAGTTAGTCATGGAGATGCCATTCAGTATCCTACTGACAGCCCAAAGAGAATATTGTCATACTATGGGGTGTTAGGGAAGCAGAGTTTCTCTTCAGGAAGATGTTACTATGAGACTCAAGTTGAAGGGAAGTCCGATTGGGTTTTGGGAGTGGCCAGTGAGTCTCTAAACAGGAAGACCGCCTTTGAATTTGCCCCCAGGAATGGCATCTGGACTGTATGCTTGAGAGATGACTGTCAGTATAAAGCTCTCGATGACTCTCATCATCGTCTGTATTTAAATACAAAGCCTCAGAAAGTTGGGGTGTTTGTGAATTACGAGGAGGGTCTGGTCTCTTTTTATGACGTAGACGCTCCAGCTCCCATCTACTCCTTTACTGACTGTAACTTCACTGAGAAACTCTACCCAATATTCAATCCCAAAAACAATAACTATGGGACAAACTTTATCCCACTGATCATCTGTCCGCTCAACAACACTGATTAGACATGTCACTGTGCTATGACGCGAGTTCAATCTGCCCACGACCCAGTGGATCAAAAGTAATCCTATTTCCAAAGCAAATGTTGTGGTCTGTCACTGGAGCATGCCAGAAGCCCTCAGAAGTTACTGTCATGGGGCGCTGGATAGCCTAGCGGTTATGTCAAGCGCTCTAGTTACAAAGGATATAGTCCTCATTGAAGCGGCCTTGGGTTCAATTTCCGACCTCGGCTCTTTGCTTCATCTCAACCCCCATTCTCTCCTCCCAACATTTCCTGTCTCTCTTCAGCTGTCCTATCTAATGAAAGCAAAAAAGCCCCAAAAATAACTCAGAGAAGATATGTTCATGTCTTTTACCTTGTTTTTTCCCCTTATTTCACAGATTCTTGTTGTTTCTTTTTATTTTTCTTCTTTTTTGTTTTTTCTTTCTTTTCAATTTTTGTCTTCAATGTATTAAAGGTCACATATTCCCCTCCTCTTCAACCAGTGTAAATAAGTCTCTGAGCTCCCTTAAACATGTCTTTTGAAGTTTCTTGTTCTAAATCCACTCTGATCCTGTATTTGATTGTGCCTATAAACCCCTCTATTTCAGCCCTGCTCAGAACAGGCTGTTTCTGTGTCTGTACCTTTAAATATGTAAATGAGCTGTGTCTGACCACGCCTCCTCTCTGGAAGGGCTTGGTGTCTTGGGCTTTCTCACTCCATGTCCTATTTTTTACAGTAAGAAGGCAGACTCAGAGGGCAGAACAAACACCTAGCTGTGTGAGTGTCACCCACTTGGGGGAGGGGCTACTGCCAAAATGTCTTTTTGAGCACACATTTTCTGAAAAGTGCAGCAGGCAGAAGACAGAGAGGATGGACTTTTCTCATCATTGGGGGGTTTGTAGACAGACATGGTGAAAAGGATTTTGCAGAATACGGGACCTTTAACACATTACTAATTTCTTTCATTTTGTGTGAAATTATCAGACAGGCTTTTTACTAACATGATTCAGCCTTTAATATTGTATTTCTTTGGACAGACTTTGGATTGACTGATTGATCAGGATGTTAAAAGAATAACTGTATTTGTATAGCAATTTCAAAAATAAGGGTTTACAAAGTGCTTTGAGACGTGCAGAAGCAAACATGAAACAAAAAGCATAAGAACCAAATAACAATAAAACAACCTGACAACAACGCAACCCATAGATGCAACACCCAACCAACAACAACGAAAACCCCAACAGTAAAAAACCCAAACAAAAACCCAATCAACATCAGAGCCTGAACATCAGAATAACACCAGCAGCTTCGGTTGAGACCAAGATGAAGGACAAGTTAGAAGATAAAGAAGTGATTAAAAGACATACAGTAGAAATAATAAAAAAGTGTCTAAAAGCTAAACAAAAAAAAGACGTGAGAAGGATTAAAGAAGATAAACTGACACTGATTTCTTGTAAACTGTCATTTAAAAGCCGTAGGATAGTTGTCTTGTTGGCTAAGCTCCACTAGGTGGTGCCAGAGAGATGTTCAGATTCCTGAGTGCACTCTGTGTGGTTGTGTTAACACGGTCGGGTGCAGGGATGGATTGTTTTTTTTCTTCAAATTTGCATGAAAATAAAATGAATTCTTCTCAGAATATGGAAGCTTTATGATGCAATCTCGGTCTGTTTGAGAGCACGTGTCACAATTCAGGGGCATCTGTGTGAGCAAAGAATGACTTTAATACACAAAAATATATGACGAAAAACTAACATACAGTTTGAATAAGGTCTGTACCGTCTAACAATTAATGTGTGTAATACATTATATCTGTTGCTTTTGTTACTGAGCTAGTTATTTGTATTCTTTGACTTTATTTTTGTAAAGCTTGGCCTTGGATTAACTTATTAAGCTAAATAGGAAAAAAAGGGTACTGGATACGTTTTTTTCACTTCATCCTACACTCTTTTTTAAACATAACCCTCCTATTATCTTTGGGGTCAATTTGACCCCAGGCTGTTTAGCTGTATAACCCTTGTGTGGTGTTTGGGTTGTTTTATCTAAAGGGCTATTTAGGTGGTCAACAAACAAACATAAAGTACCTGACACTTCAACTTTGGTAACAATTTTAAGATAATAATCTTTTTAGGTCCAATGGCTGGGGTCAAATTGACCCCAAGGATAAAAGATGTTAGTAAGTTTATTATTATCTGTATTGCATGGTTTGAAATCTTCCATCTTTCTTTTTGAATTTTATTTCACTTTTGTGTTTACAGTTTTTATTTTTGTTTCGTGATGTAAACCAAACTGCAAGGCTCATGAAATTGTTTCTTTGGTCAGATTTTTAGAGTTGAGGATATGTCATTATTGATTATAAGCTCTGAGTATTCATTTTCCTGAACGTTCAATGTCAAACATGTCAACAAAGGAACATAATGTTTCGTATCATTAAAGACTTTGTGTTATTTTGTTTGTACATTTTTTTAATTAATAAAGTTTGCCAGTATTCTCTTGATTGTTTTGGCTGATTTTTTTCTTAAGCTTAAAGGAAGAATGTGCAACTTTTTGATCCAGTAGATGTCGCCCTTGAGCACCAGCATGAAACCAAAACAAACTGCTGTTTGGCCACGCCTCCTCTGTACTGAATCCTCCGCTCTCCTCCAGCGACACACCTCCAACCCCTCTCCACTCTTGTTTGCACGTAGAAGTTATCAAATGGAACGCACCATAATTAAGCACCATTAAGGCAGCAAAGTTGTCAAGCAGCGATCACCTGCATTGTTGTGTTAGCATGCTAATGTTAGCGCTCTTTGGTTAGCTCGTAGCTTCACATTGTATTTAAACTGTTACAAACATCCAAATAATCAGTGAGTATGTTCTTCTTCTTCTCTCTAGTCCTTGACTAAAACAGCTTTTATACACAAGGGGAGGAGCCGGCCGTCCCATCCATGTAAACACGGCTCTGACAACAACACAGCCAGCGGGACTCGAGCTTCTCACTCATTGTAGACAGTCATGACTCAGAGATATATTTGATTTATGCTTTATTTATGTGTAACATTTTGCACTTTCTGTTTTGTATTGATGCTATTTTCAAATCATTGTTACTAATTATCCAAAAATCTGAATTCTCTGCAATCAGCACATTACAAACATACAAACCAGTGCTGTTTATTATTGATGGGAGTGGATGTTCTCTCTTTTGTTTGTTATTTCAGGACAGATGCTGCGTCACAGTCAAACCAGTTTAAATATCTGGGTTAAAAGCCAAAGGTATGTAGGTTCGTGTCTGTGTGTGTGCATGCAGAAAGGGGAGAGGAGAAGGAGGAGGATGAAAGATTTCTGACGTTGGCAGGTGGCATTGAATGCATCAGAGGCGTTTGTGTGTGCAGTTTCACGTCATCACAGCTTCAGAGTTCAATGTTCACACACTTCTCTGGCAGGAATCCAGAGCCTGAAAGGTTTTAGCTTCACATCTGCAAGGACACCTTTAAAAGGCATTTATCAACATTTTCACAACACACAATGACAAATATTTTACTGCTGTTAGGACTTTTAAATACAGTGGACTCCACTTTTATAACTTCTGATCTACCTCTCGATGTGTCTTGACTGTATTTTGTTTGTGTTAGATTCTGTAAAGAGCTCTCAACCCCTGTGTAGGTGAAACTTTTGAGTCAGTACCTCTGAACACCACAGGATGGTACCTGTAACACACAAGCTGCAGCTCTATGGTGCTGAAGACCGACGTGGACATACATCCATACATTTTATTTTCCAGTGATAGCGAGTTCATGTTGGTAGTCCTTCTGTATAGATTTCCTTGTATTTATCACGGAATAACAACACCCTCTATCACAGTTTTCCAGAAATAACGAGTAAAGGAATGGACTTGTGCAGAGGCTGCTGGGTAAAGAGTCCATCAGTATTAACTAAGCCCATACATACACATTAATACACCGAACCCAGGGCCCGGTTCTACGAGGGTGCAAAAGCATACATTGCACCGTCATTATAAATTCCTGCACCCTCAATTGAATGGAAAGTAGCTTTTCCTACAATAAGTAACAAACAGTGACTCAGATTGTGTTTACATTCATGACGGGTGCACATGACCTGCCTGTTGCCGGTCACTGTAGCTCTGGTCTGTGTATGTGTGTGTGTGTGTGTGTGTGTGTGTGTGTGTGTGTGTGTGTGTGTGTGTGTGTGTGTGTTTGTGTTAATGAGGGTATTTTGAATGACGTCATCACCATCACCAATATCATACCATGATATAATTGGCCATACATAATTGTAGTTTTGCATTGACAGTGAAATTATTTATTTGTCGGTTTTTATTCATTTATTTCATCCTCTTTAACTCGAACTTGAGAATTGACTCGAGTTGCTCAACATAACATTTTGTTTTTGATGATGTATTGGTTTCGATTTATGTTAGACCAGCAGTTCTCCACCCTTTTTTTTGAGCCCCCCCCCCCCCCAGAGACCACATAAAAAGAAGTGATACATTGCTTTCAAAAATTAACATTTTATAGCTTTCATTAATGATATCGGAATCAGAAAATGCCGACACTCTTGTTCGTCCCAAAATAACTTTGTATAAATGTCTCAGAAATTTTTCCATAGGATTTAATTTAATTTGTGCAAATTTTGCACAAAGATCGAGATCTCAGCCCCTTGCCCCCACCACAGGGGCCTGGACCCCTGGTTGGGACACAATGGGTTAGACCAGCTGTTCCTTCAAATGCTGCCCGCCTAAGAGCGAGCGAGGGGAGCGCCTTGTATTGCGTCTCCGCTGCCTTTGAGGGGGCAGAGCATCGCCCTGATTGTTAATAAATACAATAAATAGACAAAGATAACCGTCTTGGACTTTAATTTATGTGTTTTTTGACTTAACTTGTTTTCCTATATTTGTAATCAATGTCTCCGAACAAATAACCTTTGGGTTGTTACAGCATGTTTGTCCTTGTTGACCCTCATTACAGGGTTTTTTTTCACGCGTCAAAAAGATACAGAAAACAAGAATGAAGAGAATAACAATGAAAACCGAAAAACTTTGAACTGTGAATAGGTGATAAAAAAAACTGCATTTGTAGTTTGCACGTCGCCATAGTAACAAGCAGAGAATCCAGTAATCCAGGTCTTAATAGCTGGTGTGAAAAAAGAGGCTGTGGCCTGAGAGGAGACGATGTGTGAGCCTGCACGTATGCTGCTCACAGCTGGCAGAGAGGGAAGGAGGAGAATAGGCTGTGTGTGTGTCAGTGTGTGTGTGTGTGTGTGTGTGTGTGTGTGTGTGTGTGTGTGTGTGTGTGTGTGTGTATATGTGTGTCTGTGAGGAGCATGGTGTGGAGTCACGTTTATCTCTGCTTTATGGAGACTGCAGACGGTGTGAGGTCACTGCCCGTCTGGCTGGTTTTCCACTGATTAGTTCCTTTTGCACTGTGAAAACGTCCGCAGTTCTGTTACACACACACACACACACACACACACACACACACACACACACACACACTTTAATGGGATGAGGACTAAAGTGCGCTTCTATATTTATCTCATATAATCCACAAATGAAAAATATGATAAAATATCATTGAATGAATCCTTTAACTGCATTCAGTGCAGGGACAGAAG